GGCCGCCAAGGAGAGAAACAATGCCGTGTCTTTTTTTTTTTTATTCTGACACGAGCGATGTCAGAAGAAAAAAAAAATGTCTCCCATTAAAAAGCATTGGGACATTACTATTGGCTATTTCAATTTGCAATAGCCAATAGTAAACTAGCATTGTACCCGCCCTCTGTAGTTCCCCATCAGGTCCATCAGCAGAGGGCGGGTACAATGCTAGTTTACTATTGGCTATTGCAAATTGAAATAGAAATAGTAATAGTAATGTCCCAATGCTTTTTAATGGGAGAAATGTTTTTTTCTATTCTGACATCGCTCGTGTCACCACAAAGAAAAAAAAGACACGGCATTGTTTCTCTCCTGGGTGGCCGGGAGTGGGAGGCTCCCAGAGCGCCCGGGAGATTTTTTTCTTTTTTTTTAACTTTTTCTTTTTTTTACAGCAGCAGAGCCGCCGTACAATAGGAAACTATTGGGCGGAGCTAGCTGTCACTGCTAGCTCCGCACAATCTTTTTCTATTTTACTTTTTTTACCTTTTTTAACTCTTTTTCTGTTCTGCTTGGTCCCTCTGAGGGACCGAGCAGAACAGCCGAGCCAAATGCCGCTATTCACTCACTGCTGTTCGGCATCTTTAAGAATAGCCGGAACAGCAGTGAGTAGCCTGCCGGAGGTTCGGCTCAGCCGATCCAGATGTTGGATCGGCTGAGTCGAACTCCTTCTGCACTTCGGGTTGGCCGAACATGCTGAGCATGTTCGGCCGACCCGAAGCCACACGAAGCAGGCCGATGTACGGCGTGAATAGACCCAAACAAAGCCACTACACATTCCTTTTTAGTAATCAGATTTTACCTTGTATCCATTTAAGACCAGAATGGTGAAAGATGATTGTTGACAATTGATGATTTGCTAAGATGGCTTGCTAGACATGTAAACAATGCTCTTGGTAAATGTTCTTCATGAGGACTGGATGACTCTTGCACAATGCTGTTGGAGGTTTGAATCAGAGAAATTAGGTTTTTGAGTTGTATAATTCTGATTAAACTAGATCTGGATTTGGAAACTGCAGTTTCATTGATAGGAATACACTATGTCATATGTATTAGATGGAAAAACTAACAATTTCATGAAGTTCTTCCCAAGACAGTAAAAGCCAAATAAAGTAGATAAGAAATTACATTTCCCATAAAGAAAACTAAAGATGGTTAAACCTGAAAACCCAGGGATATGTTCATAGGCAAAAATGTTCAAATGTTTAAATTGGACATTGAATAACTGAATTTATTTTTATTTTTTTATTATTACAGCTTCGCAACAGTAAAGCAACAGGTTATTGTCTGGATCAAGGTTCTGAAGATGACAACAAAGCCATTTTGTACCCATGCCATGGCATGTCTTCACAGGTAAACAATGCTTGGAAGGCAAGATCTACGTTTTATGCTGCAGTTGTTAAAGTGTATCTAAACCCAAGATCAAAATCATAATATATTGCAGCTTAACAGTCTTCAGATGTGAGAATTTAGTCATTTTTTTAAAAAAGTTTTTTCCTTATTTTAGCTGGGGATCCTGCCAATAACACACTTCCTGTGCTAGGGTGGCAACACTCACTGTACTGTATCTATGGAGGAAAGACGCTGTTACCCTAGGACAGGAAGTGTGGTAAGTCTAGAGAACATCTCCCTCTCTCCTCATCTCCATAACATAGAGGTAAACTGGACTAGTCTCATGAGACTACTTGAGATAACACTTCAGAGTGCACTTATCGTACAGATAACAGATATAAGAAAATACTTTCAATGGTACATTAATAGACAAAAACGGAGCAAATGAGAGAAGTTCATATTGAGGTTTACACACATTTTAAAGCTACCCTCTTGTTATACAAAAGTTACAAGATACTTACCTCTCCTGCTGCCTGAACCTCACTCTTTATGAGAAATGGTCTCCCAAAGACCACTGAGAAACCAACATTTTCCAGAAGTGGCAAACACCTGAGTCCCCCACAGCTCTCACTGGTTCCTGCTGCTAACCTCCAAGTGTAGAAAACTTACCTCCATCCGATCCAGCAATGGAATCCGGAGACGCCTATTAAGGAAACGTCATGCTGCTCCTCCTCCCTCAAGCAGACTGTCATGATAAAACTGCAGGAATTTCATTTGTTCAGGGTCCTACTAATGTTGTGAATGCAGGACAATAACCCTCTACGGTATTGCAGTTACTCACCTCCTTGGACCGTGAGAAGCCTTCCTTCCTGGGACTGTTTCCTGCAGATTCACCCCCTGCAATCTGATCTGCTGTTTGAGCTTTTCCACACTCACCCTGGGACACTGCACCTGAGGCTGGCTTGTAATTGGATTCTGCTGGGACCCTGGTCTCCACTAAAACCGCAAGTAGTAACCCATACTAAATGGGTTATACAGTTGCTATTCATTCCCATGCTAGAGACTTGGCGCTATTGCCTGTTGTGGTGAACAACAGATCCCAGCTATCACCACCACTGTGTACAACCAGATATTACTGGCCTTCGTGTAATACCAAAATCATCCACTTTTGCCTTTACATTGAATCGTGCAAATTGGATTGCTGAGGACTAGAAACCCGTTCTGCTTTGTCTACTGCTATTAGTGTACTACTTAAGATTGCGGACATAGAGGAACTACTAAATACCTTTTTGTTATATATTCTTTTCAACAACTTCAGTATGCATACAGGTTATTATACTTCTGATTTAACTGACTCCTAATATTATCATTATCATATCACATTGTGATTGCAAGCAGGAACAAATTGTTCCATGTATAGAGTGCCTAACTAGGTGTATGAAGGAATACACCAGTGAGAGTGCACAATTTTCATTTGCTACCCTATGTATAACGGTGCATGATGTAAACCAGTTCCACAACCTCCTCCGCACTACATGGAGCGTATAAATGTGGAACTGAACACTGATTTAACGTTTTAAATCCTATAACTAAATTACTGCAATATTACACCAAGTCACAACTGTATCCTATGGTGATGTGGGGGTCAGGAGGAGAAACCAGCAGGAGCTGCGAGGAACGTATGAGTTCTAACGTCCTGGAAGTGTCAGTTTCCTAGTGGACTTCAGGAGGCCATTTCCCAGAGCTGCATTCAGCAGCACAGGCAGCAGGGGAGGTAAGTATCGGCTTTATTTTTTTAACAGGGAGAGCTTTGCTGAGCAACTTTTGTATTGCAACAGGAGCACTTAAAGCTAGGCGTTAAAAAGTGAGTCCATAAAGTAAAGTAGAGCTCAAGAGAAAAGCGTTTATATTTTTCAATGGGCAGTATGTCATATACAATTTTAGATACATACATTGTTACAATAGAATAAATCTGCAATTATTGGATTTTGGTAAAAGTAGGAGATTGCATATAGAGCGACTCAGACCATTTTGCTGGCACAGACACACTTTATAGACTGGACAACCCATTGAATATAAAGATACCCGTAGGCATTGTTTCTCTACATCATTACATTGTGCACAATATTAAAACAAAAAACACTTAGGCAGCATGTCATCTTATCTCAGCACATTCATAGTCCTGTCCCCGCCTTTACAGAAGACAACATGTTGGGAGAAGAGCAACTCAATAAAAAAGGATTCAACTTTATTCAAGTAATGAATAAAATATTTATATTTATGTAATTAAGACTTGAAAGAACACAACTTTAGCTTTGCAGTGACTATAACAAATATTCTCTTTACTGCTTTATTGTCCCAACATATCGCAATAGCAAATCCTGTCTGCTTAGCTATATTTACCCAAGCATAAATTTTCCTATTACCAGCAGCCGCTCTGCCCTATAAATTTAAGATAACGGTCAACTAAACATTTTGTTTTCATAATGGCTATTTGTGAATGTCATCTTCTCTGCAAAAATATTTCTTGCTGCTGTTTATTTCTCTTTTTGTGAGAATCCGAGGTGACAGATTATGGAGAGGTTGTATTTGCATGCTCAGCATTTTAACCATTTCCTGCCACATTACCGTGCATTGATTAAAACATAAGCTAAGTCAGATGCACCAGATGGATGCCTCAGTGTCTCCTCTATTCCTCTATGCTGGCAGGGCTGTGATATATTGGCCACAAACGCACATATGGTGGCAGTGCCCGGGTATAGCTTAATACTGGCAGGAGTTGATATCAGAGATATCCACGATTCAGGGAATGCCAGTACGCCGGTACGCTTTGATCCCTGGACAGTGTTATTTCATGGTTCAGATGGTCCCGTGGGACGCTATGCCCGCTCCATCACGCCACACCTGCTCAATGCAGCTAAATCATTAATACCCCTCCATACTGGAATGGCTTGATAAAGTGGAGCAGACTTACCGCCTGGAAGAACTCACTCTTAGCGGAATAGATAAGAGGGAGCGCCTTTCAAAAACTTGGGCATGTTGGCTAGCCTACAAGACAACTCCCTCTTATCTAGCCAAGATATCCCCAGCTGACTTAAGGTCAAATTACAATGCAGATGCTGAGGTCGGCAAATTCGACTACGTCTGCATTCTTGACTGAACACCGGTATCTGCGTTTAGTATCGGGGCATTTTCACGAGTATGAGTACTCGTGAAAATGCCCAGTATTGGCACTGGTGCATCCCTACTTAAAAATATAGTGCATTGCTGGGACTTGTAGTCCTGCATGGTTGGTGGTATTCTGCATTGCTGTATAATGATTATACAGCAATGCAGAATACCATCAGCTATGCAGGACTACAAGTCCCAGCAATACCTTATAATAAAGGTAGTGGGGTATGGGAAGTAGTATACAAGTGTAGTTTGTGTGGGG